ATTTTCTTGAACCCTAAACCCCATATTTGTGATGTACACATCTGGGAGGCCACCAATATTCAGTGGCCGGCCAGTAATTGTTGTTGACCCTTTTGAACCCCTTTGAAAAGTGGGTTGTTCTCTCTCCTGGTTCACTATTTCCAGTGTTTAACCACAGGGTTGTGTTGTGCACACATCAGAGGCTCCCTTTTTGATATGGCCGGCCACTAATTCTCATTGAACCTTTTGACCCTTGGCCGGCTGGCCATGGGAGGTAGCCGGCCGGCCACCTGGAGCTACAATAGCTGGCCGGTCATGATCCTTGCACCCTGTTCCTTACAGCTGTGTATTCATTTTCCCCCCCAGATTCTGCATCCGGGGGGCTGCTTTTTGGAGGGAAACTTGACTCATTTCCCTCCATTTTCCCCCCATTTTCTCCCCTCTCTTGCCTATATATCAGCAGCTCCAGCTGCTGGTTTAGGGTTACAAAATTGCCCTCAAGCTCTTTGCATTACACCTCTCTCCCTCTCTACTCCAAACACCAACATCCTTCAAACCCTACACCACTTTACACTACAACCCATAGCCCCACCCTTCCATCCTCCATTCCAGCAGCTGGAGGTTGTTCTTCAAGGCCTAGGAATGCTACATCTCAAGTCAAAAGGGTGCCAAAGTTTAGTCTACAAGGGTAAGCTCCATTTCCCCCTTTTTGGTCCATATTTTGCATACTTTATAAGCCATATTTTCTTTCTGTTTTGGGCTCCGACCTTAACTGGAACTAGGCTTATTTTGAGCTCCTTTTCACTTTTGTTTAAGGGCCTCTCACTGTTTGAGGCCTCCTTGTTGCACTTGCTTCATTATCCCTCTTGTATGCCATTATATTGTGTAGTATTTTTGGCCTATGCATAAATTGTTTTGAGGCATGTCATAAACTGTGAAGTGGCTTATTTTGAGCCCTTCTTCAACATTTTTGAAGGGCTCATTGCTGTTTGAGGCTTCTATCTTCCACTTGCCTTTATATCCCTTTTTTTGCTCCATTTTTGCATGATTTATTAGCCTCGGATGCTTCTGTTTTTGGACTTTGGTCCAAACTTAAAACAGCCTTATTTTGACCTCCTCTTCATGTTTTACTAAGGGTCTTTTACTATTTGAAGCATCCTTTTTGTACTTTGTGTTATAGCTCTCTTTTTGGCCTTGTTTTGCATTGTATTTTGGGCATGCTTGTGTACTGTTTTTGGCTCGTCCATAAACTGTAAAAGGTCATATTTTGGGCCCCTCTTCAACATTGTTGAATGGACCTCATCTGTTTGAGGCCTGCAGCTGTGACTTGCTTCATTAGCTTGCTTTCAGGGCCATTTTTGCACACTAGTTTGGCCCCATTTGCATTAGCTGATTGACCTTGCTTAGAACTGTAAATATGCTTATTTTTGGGCTGTCTTGACTCTTTATTTACATTCCATGTTCAAATAATGCATGCTTCGTATAGCTATAGGCCAATGCATGTGCCTAATTTTGCATTTCGGGTACCATTTCATGCATCGGGTGCCATGTTGTCATGATTCGGGGCTATTTCGGGTCATATTTTAGCGCTGAAATTTGCATGTTTGCATATCATATTTCATGCCTTGCCATGTCTTGTTAGAGTGGCATTCGGTGTCTTAGGATCGGTCCTCGATTTGCGTGCATGCGTGCACGTACTTCGAGAGTCTCATTTTCATCTGATGGCCTCCTATGTGAGTGTGGCTGAGGTCCACTCATGTTGGTGTAAGTCCATTGTGCATTGTGTATGCCATTTCATCTCATAGCATTGTGTATGCTAAGTTGCATGTTAGCGCATTGTGTATGCCATGTTACCTTATGCATTGTGTGTGCCATTTCATTTCATAACATTGCGTATGCTAGGTTGTATGTTAGCGCATTGTGTATGCGATGTTATCTCGTGCATCGTGTATGCCATTTCATAGCATTGTGTATGTTAGGTTGTATCTTAGTTGCATTTCATGCATATCATGCATATTGCATCGTGCTTGGGATAGGAGTTAGCCCGAGCACGGGAAACGAGGGACGTTTCGTACTCCAAGTGACGGAACGTGTCTCAATTCTCCAGTCACCGACACTCCGAATTATCCATGATGGAGTTAGGTTTTAGTTTTGTTTTCATGTGCATTTATTCTATATTGAGTTGCACAATTCGACTTCTCGGCCATCATATATCGAGATGCGTGATTGGTGGCACAAGGATCGAGACATGCATACATATGTGAAAATACATTGCTATGCCCCTTTTCTGCTCTCTGTTGCAGCAAATCAAGAATTAGCAGTCTTCTGGGGCTTGGCGCGCTTTCTAAGAAATCATTGCAAAACAGAGGCTAATTGGGGCATCTCAGTGGATTTCCGCGCAAGGCAGCCCAAACATACATCATTCATCAGAGTCAAGGCAGTCCCTGGCTTGCATGCCAGTTTATAGCTTTCCTAGATTAATTTGTAAATTAATTAGGATTTTTGTATTTATTCGGGACTGTAATCATTTGGGACTGCATATTATTTATTCGGACCCTCTGAGCGAGGGCAATGTTGTAATAAGTGTGCGTATGTGTGATGTATGTCTTCCAACCCCACGTCTTTCTCCCTTTTATTTACCCGCTTATGATGGTTAGATTAGGGCATGTTTCAATTAGCATACAGTATGATAGCATGTTTGCATTCATTCATCTGTCTTGCATGCACCGGGCTCGGCGCATCATACTAACTGCATTGTACTTTCAATTCCAAATTGAATACATGTTAGCTGTAGCATTTCATATGCCATGTTTAGAATAGTCGAGCCTGCTATAGTTGCATTTTGCATGTGTTGCATTAGGCATTTCTGTATTTATGCTTTAGCATCCTTGCATGCGTGTGAGTGACTGCCATGAATAGCATGCTTACCATGAGGCTATGTGCTTATATGATATAACTGCCTGAATGCCTGTGGGTGAAGGTTGGGTTATTTGGATTGGAACAATTCATCAAATGTGTGTTTTAAGCCCACTAGATAGTGGCAAAATCATATTTTCTAAGCCCACCCGAGGTTGGCAAATCCACGTCTTAGTCTACTTGCGAGTAGCACCATCAAACCATTTTCAAATAAACAAACATGAAATGTTTTGTTCCAATTCAGGCGACCAGTCTATACTTGTATGCTGCGCGCATCACATAGTAATCTAGGCTAATAACCGGAATAAGAACGCACAATGTTTTCCAAACTTGATATCATGGTTAGTAGAGGCCGATCTTTGATCGGGCGAGCAGGGGTGCTCACGAAGTGACCTTCCCCAATCGTACCCAAGTTTCCGAGCCGAGGCAACTTTGGTGATGACGGACACGTGGCCTTAGGCAACGAGTCAGGGTTTCCTAAATTTCTCAAAATAAAATATTTAGGTGGCGACTCTGTATCTGGCAAAGCAGTCCATGTTTGGCACTTCTTTCAAAATCTGTTTTCTCAAAACGATTTGCCGAATTTGGACTCTTTGGTTCAAATTAAGAACCGTGACATTTGAGTCCTGAACTGTAGTGAGCCCAATATCGAACGGAACGGGGGACTCGTTCCTCCTCGGGGCGTTCGGGGGACGTCTACACACACACAAGAGAGAAAAGTGATGTGGCCAAAGAAAATTATAAATGCCAGATAAACATAGACACATACAAGAGAGTAAAATTACATATAGATGTAAAATATAGCCAGAGAAAATTCAATAAAGAAACATAAATCTAGCAAGCACAGAAAATGAAAATGAAAATGACACATGTCAGAAAAAATTAAATATGGAAAGCCAGAGAAATTTATAGAGCAGAGAAATTTGAATGAATTGTATTTAAAAATTACACAGAGAAACATAGAGAAATTAACCATGCCAGAGAAAATGGGGAATAAACATGCTAGAGAAAATTCAAAGAAGAAACATAGATCTAGCCAATACCAGAGAAATTCAAATGATAGAGAAATTTATAGACAAAATCACACAAACATCTTCAAGATTAAGTTCAAAACTTTGAGAAATAACAATTTTCAAATTCATGTAGCTTTTTATTACGAAATTGAAACCCTAATAAATGGAAGGCTAATATAATACACGATTAACTGTGTTTCTAGATAAAAACTCGTTGGATTGTAGAAAACTTACCAGAGTGATGATAAAACCCTAATTACAAACTGATATGCCCTGAGATGAAGATGAATTGAGATGACGATCAATAGTGAAAATGGATCAGAGAAATTTGTAAGGAAGGAATGGAAAAGATTTTAGCAGAAGATAATAAAACTGTAATGTCGATAGTGAAGATGATTGTGAAACCCTAATTCTCCTGTTCTCTTGCTCGTGAAGATGGTTGGATTTTTTGAATGGAACTGAGTCGTCAGAATCCAATGGAGTGTTCTCAGTTGATTTGTGAAGGGTATTTTGGTCCAAGAAAGAATTAAAAATGCACGCATTCTAGTTGAGGGACCTGATGCATCATCCTTTTTTTTTTGGTGTCCTCTATCTTTTAAATTACTATTATCAGGGACCTTAAAAAAAATTCTCCTTTTAATATCTATACTTTTTATATTTATAAATTTTAATATATTTATGATATAATTATGATATTACGATTCAATTTTAATTCAACTGCGGCTGAATTAATTTGGTCACTCTGCTAATTTGTTTCCTAATCTAATTTTCAAAATATTACTTGCCATCACTATTTAGTATGTGTAAAATTAAAAATTTTACCATCTCGTTAGAATCAAACCTGATCAATTATTGGACTTAAGTCATGTTATAAATTTTTACACAAAAAAGAAAAAAAGAAAAAAGAAGAAGAAAATAGAAAAAGAGAAAAAATAACCACAAATTGTCAACTGCATATTCCCCAGAATATTATCGCTGGTATCCCCGGGCCCGAGTCATTTTCTATCCCCCGAGTCATTTTCATTATAGAGAGAGAAATGGGTGGTAGAGAGGGAAGGATCACATTTTAGAAACACTCTTAAGCAAATGTAACCATCGGATGAACTCACTCACTCTCAACTTCAAGAGCGTGCCGCGATGTCCCTCTTTTTCTACAATAAACCCATTTGTGTTTCTGTATTTTCTCAGACTCTCCTCCTCTTTGAATTCAAGACTACCCAGTTATGGATTTTCAAGAAATGTCGTCTATGGAGAATAATCCTCTTCCTCCAATACCCGGTCGTGTTGTTATTGCTTATGATGCTACCAAGAACCGCAATGAAGGAGAGCTTAAACGCACTGTTGATAGTATCCGATCGAGAGGTGACATTCTTCATGGAGGTGATACACTCACGCTGCTTGGAGTTCTGCATAAGGTCCCACACCCCAGTAAGTGTTTGACGAATTGCCTGTGAGAGGTTCAACTTTAAATTCTTTTACCTTGTCTATGCCCATTATAGTTTAGTTAATATATATATGGGGTTTGGGTCATTTTCTTATTTCCTTTTTGGAAATAGATTCAATATCTATTTATTGGGTGTCTTCCCCACTTCATAAAAGTGCAAATGATAATGGATTTATTTAATTGAAACAATATTAGCATTTGCTTCCACCCAATTTGTGATCTTGCTGTAACAATCATGTGGTAGAGTTGTTTGAGTGTTAAAGGCTCACAAGAGATCACAAAACTGTAATGACTAGATTGAGTTTTGATCCTTTCATGGGGTCTAAGAGTTTTTGGTGAGTCTTAATACTTTCTACCATCACCCCCATCTCACGGCTGTGGTATGAAGCTCACAACGGATTTTGGGAGACTCAAAATTTGTGTGAATATTAAGTACGGCCAACAGTTGGAAATTGAAGGGTGCAGGTGCATGTACCACCAACAGTTGGTACGAACAACCATGAGAACAGTTAAAAGAAATAGTAAACACAGTTCTCTTAATCATCTTAATGGTTAAAGTTGATCTTATTTTATTTTATTTTTGATGTAGTGGGTTACCAAATGCAAGCGTCCCCTGTTTCTTTTTTGGGAACAAACATGAGTGTGCTGAAAGACGAAGTTTCAAAAAAGATTGATATGTATGTGAACATGCTCCTACAAAGTGCTGAAGAATGCAAAAATGAAAAGGTAATGAATGTTCTTTATATTTGCAATAGCTATTTCATATATTTAAGAAGCATTACAATCTATTGAGGTGATTATTTTGGAAGACCAAATAGTATTCCATGGTAAAAAGCTATGTTGATTTTGCATTTGCGAGGGGTTATAATGGTTTTTTTGTTTTTTGTTTTTTGTTGTTGTTGTTGTTGTTGATAAATATACAAACTTTACTAGACAAACATCAAAATGATGCAAAGAATACAAAAATGACGGTCCCCAAAGGCCCAAACAAGACTAACAAATCAAATCATTCATAAAATCTACAAAAGCCAACACATTTGGATCAAACAAACTTGAAACCCAACTATATAAACATCATAAGAAGCCACCTCTCTAACCCGACCCCCTTCCCAACTCTACAAAACTTCCAACACCGAACACCGGCATCCAAGCCAAACCAAAGGTCACAACAATAAGCATCCAAAGCCGAGAAGCCATTAGACAATGAATGAGAAAATGATCCACTGACTCCGCATCACCGCAACACCATCAACACCAATTAACTAAGATATACCGACGACAAATTAAGTTATCGATAGTCAGAATACGTCCTAAAGCCGCCGTCTAAACAAAGAAAGCTACCTTGGATGGCATACCTGCCACTCAAACACACTTCAGAGGAAACAAATTAGCAGCGACATGCACAAACGCACCATAAAACGAGGACACCGAGAAAATCCTTTTGGATCTCAGACAAACCTACACCAGATAATCCTTCCATTCCCCACCAAATTGCAGCTAGTGCAAAAAGCCCAAGAGGTCTACCAATTGATTCAACTCCCAATCTTGAACATCACGACGCAATAGCACATTCCAAATGAACGATTGCCCTTGCCTAGACCTAACTTCACCCACAATAACCTCACAAACCATTGCAATAGCATAAATCGAAGGGAACAACATCTCTAAAGTCATCTCACAACACCACCAATCCCTCCATAAAGGAACTCTATCCCCCACCCCTACCTTGAAACAAACGAACGCTATAATGTTTTTATCTTCTTGTTGTGCATATATTGTAATTTGAATTACTTCACAAGAGTCTTTGCAATGTGCAGCATATAAGTCTGTGGCTCTTGCTGAGCTGATAGGAATTTGCTATATTCTAAATGCATCCAATGGACTTTCTGATGCAACATTTATTATATGGTTAAACAAGTACGATAGGCTGTGGAAGCCCAACACAAAGTCTATGGGTCCTATGTTCGTCAAGAAGCCTTTGTGGTCCAAAGAGAAGTGTCCATGGTAGTGTTTAGTGGTTAAGGATATTATGGTAACTTCAGTTTTGCTGGACATGGGTTGTAGGGTTGCCCATGGGTTTTATTTTGGGTCAAGTTATTAAATGGGTTATGATATACGGGTTTGATTATGTCTAAAATAATCTTAGTGGTCAAAAGTTTAAGTTTCCTATTTTGATATTGAAGTAGAATTAGAAGTCATTAAAGTTTCCTATTATGATTGAAGTAGAATTGGAAGTCATAGTTGGTCTAGAATATTAGTAGTTGCTAAATATTTTTAGTTTCTAAATTTGGGAAATAGTCCTTATAGAATTAGCAGAGTCTTTAGCCTATAAATATATGTGTGATCTCAATGATTCAATAGCAGAGTTAATATTATGAAAATTTGAGATTGTATTTCTGTGATTGGCCTATCCTTTGTGAGGGTGAAGCACTTTTCTCTTTTTCTCTCTCTTCTTCTATCCAGCAAGGTTACTGTTTACGTCACTGTTCACAGTGCTTAAAACAACCATCCAACTGTCCCAAAACACTTATGTTTTCATTCCCAAAACCCTACCTTTTTACAAACCCTTAAACTCTTATTTTTAAATACTTTTGCAGCCACAAAATCCCACCAAATCCAGCCTTATAAGTCTATTGTTGCTGCTGCCAGTATACTTAAACTGGGCTCACTACTTGTAGGAAAGTAATCCCTACTCGTCCTACATCACTTTCATCTGAGTTATTCTTATTATAAATAAGTACATGGTTTAGAGCGTACCTATACTTTTTGATCTTGACACAGTGACTGTTGCAAATTTTAGAACCTTAATCTAAAAAAATGAATGTATGATAGTGTGAAATATAACCCAACACCAAATCAGATGCAACTAGTATTTATTGCATACATCACGTAAGGAGAACAATGGAAATTGCATGAAGATATTCAATAAAATTTACTATGGTGGTACATATTTTAGAAACTGCTTTCTTGTTATAAGATGGGTAATTAGTTTTAGGTTGTGGGGCTACATATAACTGTCAGCTAACTGTCCAAAAAAACTGATGAGCTCCTGGAATATTGTGAATAACTATGGACTATATAGCAAAATAACTGAAAGGTCAATACTAGTACTAGCTGCCAAAGGTCTGCTTGCTTGTCTGAAAGTAATGAACTAATAATACATTAGCATGAAAAATTTAAGATGATATTCTTAATAGTTAAAAATGGGGTAAATTACACTAACCTTCCATGAGATTTGGAAAAAATACAGTTAGTCCCACATGTTTGACATAATTATATTGGACTCCCTTAAGTTTTATTTCACATAACAATTGGGCCCTTTTCGTCTCAGATGGATGGAAAAATGATGGTGTCATCTCTTTTATGCTGAAATGTATATTTTAACTTGTTCATGTTTGTGTCTTCACACTGTTTGTGTCTCGGCATCTCCTGGACTCCAACCTGTAGACTATGTCATTAACTTTCAGAGTAGGCAAGACCTTTCTTCCCCCATAGAGCTATAGTTACTTTGATCGATTCACTCAAGTTACCCAATTAACATTCTTCCCTTCAAACTTATAGGCATTTCTAGCTTTCCACTCATTCCACATTATAGTTGATCGAACTGCTTCCCAAATCAGCTTTTCCATACCCCTAAACTTGACCCCATCCTACCAATTAAATAGAATACTGATGGAGCCAGGTAAGACCCATTGAACACACCATAATAGTAATTTTGTCCAAATTTTGCAGACAAAACCACAGTGCAATAACACATGGTCCCCTGTCTCAGCTTCAGACCTGCAGAATATGCATAATGTATGAGCATTTTGATCCAACACCCCAATATTCTGTGGTGAGGTAGATGTTTTTAATTTCCCTTTGCATGCCAACCAACTTTTAAATTGCATCTTAGGAGGAGAAATGTTGTTCCAGATTAAATCAGGTGATTTGACCATAGGACCATAACTCAAGTTAAGCCAGTCATAAGCACATCCTTAACAGAAAACATACCTGATCGGGCAGCATTCCATACGAGCCTATCATCTTCAGTCAAACTGAGGACAGGAGCAGAGAGGAGCATCTGAATTAACAGAGTAACTTCTTCCAAGTCCCAGGTGAATAATTGTCTTCTAAAAGCAAAGTTCCACTCTCCTGACAAGTCCCTCTTACTATAGTAATCAAGCACAGAACCCTTTTTCTCCACTGACAGCAGGAACAGTCTTATAAACTTCTCTTTCAAGCAAACATTCTTATCGAACAGACTCGTTCTTCCATTACCAATGTGAATACATAAGTTTGATTGAAAGAAATTGAAAATCTGTGGTTTGACTGAAGCTATTGATAGTATGTTAGCCTAAGAAGCACAGACATGGACACGGGACACGACACGGACACACAGGGTATGTTATGTTTGGTTCGGTTTTGAGAGTAGTTTTTAAAAATTATTTTGGGGAGAGAGTTTAGAAATTTTTTTGGTTTGTTTGGTTATGTATTTTGAAAGTAGTTTTGGAGTTTGGGATTTTGGAATGATTTGATATTTTATTGTAATTGAGTAGATGTATGTGAGAGAAAAAGTGATTGAGAAGGAGAGAGGAGAGATGAGAGAAAAAATGATTGATTGATGTGTAAGAGAGAAAGTGATTTTGGAAATTGTTTTGAAAAAATTACTAACCAAACAAGTTTTTTAGAAAAAAATTCCCAAAATTACTCTACAAAGCCAAACCAAACATACCCGCAAACATGCAAATTTTCAAAAAATGGGGGACATGACACATTGAGGATACGCTCAATATATATAATTAATTTTTTTTTATTATATGTCATAAATTATTAAAAAAATTTATTGAAAGGTAATAAAAACTACAAAATAACACTTTTAAAATTATAAAAGAAAAACTAAAAAAAATAATCTCAGAGAGAGAGAGAGAGAGAGAGAGCAAAAATAAAAATAAAAAATAATCAAAGAGAGAAAAAGGAACCCAAAAAAAGAAAAAGAAAAAGAAAATATAAATAATCGAAGAGAGAGAAAGAGGTTACATTTAGCCCCAAAGAGTCGAAGAAAGAGAGAGAGCGATAGAGAGAGAGAGGCACAGAGAGAATGATCGAAGAAGAAGTAGAAGATTTAACTAGAAGAAGAAGAAGAAGAAGAAGAAGAAGAAGAAGAAGAGAATCAGAGGAGGAGAAGAGAAGAGAAGAACAAAATCGAAGAAGAAGAGGAAGACATACTTTCGATATGGTGAACAATAGCGAACAACCTTTAGCCCTTTCTCTCATCTCTTCTCTTCTCTTCTCTTCTCTTCGTCTCTTTTGATCTTCGATCTAGGGTTCGAAATCTTTAAATTTTTTTCAATTTGATTCCCACTTACAAGTCTCAGAAATTATGTTTTGTCCCCCATAGTGTCCCAAACGTGTTCGAATGTGTCCCAAATGTGTCCTACTACAAACAATTTAAAAAATAAAATAAAAAAATGAGACATTTTCTTTGGAGTGTCAGACATGTGTCCACAGCATGTCCGACGTGTGTTTGTATCCGACACTAATACGTAGCCCTTGGGGGGGTGTCCGTGCTTTACAGATGTCAGCCCAAACTCTAGAAACCCTTAACTGAGGTTCAAGTAGTGGAGACCTACATTTCACGGACTCTTTGAAATTTGGGAGGTACCTGTGTTGACACGACACGACACGACACGACACGGGTATGGGTGCGGGTGTGGGTGCGGGATACAGCTAAGATAAGGCTCTTTACAAATGGATATGGATTTGTTTTGCCCTAAATGCAGAAGAAATAAAAGAGAGAGCAAGGAGAGAACCTAGTCGCTGGCTTCGATCCTCTATTTGACGACTTTGATATTGCACCCTTCGACTTCGACGAGCGTGGCCCTTTTGACTTCGACTTCGTCTTCGTCTTCGACGAGCGCCAACGTAGATGAGCTTCGATCTATCTTCGCTGGCTTCGTCTTCGATGAGCTTCGATCTATCTTCTCTCTCTCTCTCTCTCTTTTCTATCTCTTCTCTCTGTTTTATAATCTGTTCTCTCTCTCTCTCTTTCAAAAGATATTTAATTAATATCTATGTCAATTATATACCATATATATCATACATCAATGAAAATAACTATTTATAAATCGTATTTGTTTATAATGTATATATGTCAATTAAAAATAAAAAGAATTATATAAAAAAACTAAAAATATTATCAATAAAAATAATACATAATATAAAAAATAATAAATATGTTGAAAAAATAACTATTTAACTCATCTTTATATAATAAATATATTTAAAAAATAATTATTTAACGTATCTCCGTACCTATATCCAAATTTGCATCCATATCCATGTATTCTTAATTTTTAGTTTTAAAGTGTCTAACCCCCTAGATATGCACCCGCACCCGATACCCACACCCGAGTCCATGCAACATAGGTGGAGACCACTTACTATTTACATAATGGTACTTACTATGCAGAACATTTTTCCATAAGACATTGTCCAGCGCTCCAAACTTCCACCACCATTTGGCAAGGAGGCACAAGTTCACGTCTCTCAATCTTCTAATTCCAAGACCTCCTGCATCCATTCCTTTGGTTATTTCACTCCACTTCGCCAAATGCACTCTTCTTTTCAAAACTGATCCACCCCACAAGAAAGATGCTTGTTATTTATCCAACACCTTAGCCACACCTTCAGGCATTTTAAACATGGACAAGTAATATGTAGGTAGATTATCGACTTAATTAAAGCTAACCTACCTCCAAATGAAAGGAGTTGCTCCTTCCAGCTTGCAAGCCTCAACTTAGAACTCTTCACCGCGGGATCCCAAGTGGACTTAAGTCTGGGGTTGGCACCAAGAGGAAGACCCAAGAACTTAAATGGAGTCTTTTTTTGGGTACAATTTAATGCATCTAAACTCACTGATTAGAGTCTCTTCCACACCTACTCTAATCACCATACTCTTAGAGTGATTAATCTTCCACCCAGAAACTACTTCAAAGCACATTATTATTCTTTTGATACACAGGATCTCATCCTAATCTGCTTCACGAACGAGTATTGTGTCATCGGCAAATTGAAGGTGGGTCACAATCACCTTATCTTTGACAATTGATACCCCTTTCCGCAGCCCCAACTTCCTAGCTCTTATAATGATGATATTGAGCCCTTCAACTACCATAAAAAAACAAAAAAAACAACGCCCAATTAGTACACATTAATGTGTGTTTGTGAGGGGAAAGATTAGGTACTCACCTAACCTTTAGCATAGCCCTTCAACTACCATGTTAAAGAGAAATGGAGAAAGTAGATCCCCTTGCCTCAATCCCTTCACAGATTAAACTCTTCTGTTGGGCTGCCTGTCATTAACCAAAACTGAAATTCTAGCAGATGATATACAAGTTTTAATCCATCCAATTCACCTCTGACCAAACCCAAAGCTCCCCAATAAGTTAGAGTAAAAATCCCCAGTTGACACTATCAAAAGCTTTTTCAAAATCTAAGTTGAGTACCACCCCTTTCCTTCCCGCTGTTTTCCACCAATCCAACACTTCATTAGCTATTAATATGCCATCCAAGATATTTCTACCACCCATAAATGCTGATTGAGACTCACTAATGATGTTGGGCAATACCTTTTTCAGCCTTGAGGCTAAGACTTAAGCAAGAATTTTATAGACTGACCCAATAAGGCTAATTGGCCTATAGTCTGAAGGACAGATGGGGTTTTCTGTCTTTGGGATTAGAGTAATGAAAGATGAGTTGAGACCAGCCACCAATTTACCATGATCAAAAAATTCTTTGAAAAATTCCAACACTTCCTTCTTCATAAATTTCCTTCCAGCACTTCTTAATCCCCAAAGGTTTAGAGCCATCTGGCCTAGGGGCCTTGTTCCCATCTCATCCTTTTAATGGGGAGGCCGATGTAACTATGTTAAAATCGTGAGACTTATTGTATTTTCTTCAAACTTTAGGGGAGGTTAGTGTAATTGACCTCTAAAAAATATTAGTATATATCACCAAAAAAAAAAAAAAACCAAAAAAAAAAAGCCTAGAATGCTGTGGGATATTTTGTTCTTGGATGATTAAGACACATTAACACAATGACATAGGTGGCATAAGTATTGTTATTCAGGCCCGGCGACAACATTTGGGTGGACTTATAGTGCTATGATGAATTAGATGTAGTCATACAAAATACGTGAATTTTTTTTTTTCCCAATCAATAAAGGTTTTATGTGTATCTTGAATTAATTTTATATTGTAATGTAATGCCATGGAACCATATGAAGTTCTTGAGTCATTTGAAACACCGTAACCATCATATAAGCGGGAGGGGTGTTCACGGGTTGAGTCGGCTCGGGGTTCACCCCTTACCGCTAACTGAACCGAACATGTCAGGTGAAAATATGAATCAATCACCTGCTTTCGACTGCCATACCGATCGAAATCGTCCGAACCAAATGATTCGGTTTGACGGTTGGATCGGACGGGTGATACATGCAAAGCAATTTTTTTTTTTTCCCCACATTCGAACAAAACTCAAAATAAAAAATATATACAATCCAAATACATAAATACTGATCTAGACCAGATCTGAAAAAAAGGGATATTGAAAAAAAAAATTAAATAGTCGGAAAAACAAACTTAGCTTTAGCGGAGTCTAAGAAGGGTAAGATGATTGTAACTTTATCCCAATTTCTGGAGAAATTATTTTTGTGACTCGAATCCGCTCCACCAGAAATGCTAACGACAAACCTTATTATTCGATTAAGCTACTCTTTTGAGTTCTTAATCTATTTTCATATCCAATTTTGTTAAATATTTTTTCTTCACTTTTTATGCATTATTGTACATGGTAAAGTATTTTGTTATAAAATTCTTCTTCTTCTTCACCTTCTTTTTTGATAAAATACAGAATTTTTACCATCGAGTTTTCTATTGCATAATATTATATGTACATTTTACATGGAGTATTATATTTTTCACAATATCTTCACTTCTTTTTAATAAAATATAGGTTCATTTTGTGTACACTTTATAAGAAATATTTATTTAAATTAAATTATTATGTAATTTGTCTTTTTCGGTAGGATCTTACGATCCTCGATCCGATTCTACGATCCGATCCTATAAATACCTCCAACGATCCAACGTAGGATCCTGAATTTAACAACCTTGAATGTAACATCATTAAAAATTATTTAGAGGTGATAAATTAGGGAGATATAGCATTAAATTTAGTCAGAAATTGTATTGGTAATATAATAAATTTAAAGTTATTCTAAGGATATAGGCCTATGTCTGAGAATAGGGGATACACGTCATTTCTTGGGAAGAAAAAAAGATTCTTGGGAAGGTGTAGGTCTCCTTTGGAATTATATATGAAACCTGGCAGATTCATATTTATCATGTAAAAATAATTCGGATGGGTCGGGTTTAGCGATTTTTTCT